GTCTCCAAGACGGACGATGGAACAATGCCATCGGAAAGTGGGGTCCATACAATGCAAAGAGATCAAGAGGCAGACCACAGATGAGGTGGAAAGATGACATCAGGAAAAAAGGAGGTCCCACATGGCAGAAAACAGCTCAAGATAGGGAACGATGGAGAGAACTGGGGGAGATCTATATCCAACAATGGAAGGATAGAGAATAGGTTAAAAAAAAATTAAGGAGGGTTATTCCCCTATAGTTTGATGTTAAAAGATGTATGTTAAAGAGTAGCAATGAATAATTCGGCCAATTTAAATTGTACAAATTATGGGTATCTAGAAGTCAGTATTTAGTGTATTTAGCGAACAAAAATAACACTGATTCTGAGTTGTTATCTGGAATTTATCAAGCAACGGAGAAAGGGAAATTAAATTTTGGGCTGATTTAATAAAATGCAATAAATTTGTACTTTCACAACTTTGAGTATACGCTATTACCATTACTGATTCTGATGATTTTTCATTTTATTTTGTTTATTATCTTGTCAAATTTTTAAATTTTTGTAAAATAAGTATGTTCATTATATTATTTATGTAATAACATGTTTGAACAACAAAATTGTTTTGTTTTTTGTATTGAAATATGTAAAATTTTAAACAAAACTTTAGTGCAGAAATTTACGGATATCGTTAAAAAACAGATTATCTTTGAGGGCAACAGTAGGACAACTAACTTTTATTTCAATTATTTTTCACTTTTTTATTAATTAATGTAAATTGTTATTTGACACATGTAAAATTGGGTACTCAAACTAAATTCCACGTACATCCATTCGAATATAAAAACGTTATTAATTACTGAAGTTTCGTAAAATTTTCAAATGTGTTTTTCTCGAAACTACAATATTTTACATATCCTACTTTGCTTTGAGGCGACGATATACAGGGTGAGTCATGAGGAATGATGTCTGCTTTAATAGCGGCTCTTTTATACCGTTTCCTGAACCAAGCCTATAGTACAAAATGAAATTTATAAATTCTTTATCCGTAGTTGTTTTGGGCTGCTCGATTTTTTTCCTTAAAAAATGTTTTAATTAATGTTAAAAGTCTCTTGTGTTCTGCTCTATTAAACAAGCTGCTCTGCAGTAATTTTGCGAAAAAGATGTTTATGTTTATATTTACATGGGGCAAACATGTCTGAACGGGATATACTCGAAGTTATGGAGTAATTATTTAACCGACAAATTGCAATTTATAGCTGGACTAGGGGGTTGATCCGGTTATTTAGGACTAATTAAAATAGTATTAATCCACTAATATTGATAGGCTTTCATGGACATCAAAAATATTGATGAATATTGTTGATTGATCACCCAAAATTAATCATACATATTTAACTCAAACATGTATATTTGTAAATACTGATTAAATAGTTGCTAATTACATGATATTAAAAGCACAAAGCGTGTTGATAAGTAAATAAACTTAATACGTAATTTTCAAATACATTCAATTTTTGTGTGTCACATATATATATATATATATATATATATATATATATATATATATACAGGGTGAGTCATGAGGAACTTTACATACTTCTACCATATGTAGAGTCCCTCAGGGAGCATATCATGTGGCCACTAAAAAATGTCAACTCCTCTTCTTTATTAATTAACAGGGTGATTTGTGTAATTGACCATTTATTTCATTTTACTGTAGTGTTTATACGGCTCATTTGATTTTTTTTAATTTTTGCATGATACAGTACACTACTATCAAGCATTCGACTGGTATTAGCTAAACTAAAAAATTCCAGGACTGGCTTTGGAAAAATTAATTTAGGAATTCGTATTAAATATTACACCCTGTATATATATATTTTTTAAATGCAATAAGTGATTTTCAAACTACATAAATAGCCAATGAAAACGACATATGCGACAATGTTGTCGCACTTTTATTAAATTTTTAGTGAACGATCAAATCTTACCAAAAATAGAACAACCATAATGAAGTATCAAATTATAAGGTATTAATTTAAACAAATGTTATAAATTTCAAACATTTTAATTAAAATGAGTTCCTACAACATAATCTAATACGTAGAAAATTAACATCTTTACTGTCACTTTGTATTATCTCTACGATAGAATCAATTGTTTTTCAATTTTAAATTTTTACTCATAGATCGTATTGGGGCATTATTTTCGATAAATAATAAATTAAATTGATTAAAAAGTCAAACCTCTTGTATGTGTTAGTTTTTGTTGATTGTAAATGATTAAAATTTTATGTCAAATAATAATACATTGCATCAACTGTACTAAATAAAAATAAATCTAAAAAAAGTTTAAAATGAAGGTTGGCGTTGACCGTTTGACGTTTCTTGATATTTTATACCGATTGTCATTAATGTCATTATCAATTGTTATTTATGTGTACAAGAATACATATTTCTTCTGTCATATCTACGTTAAGTACATTGTGTTAGTTTTGGTAGAGCTTTTGTTACTTTCGTTCAAAATGCCACATCAGTTTTCGACCACAGAATATGCAGACATAATATTTGTTTATGGATTCTGTAATGGGAATGGTAGGGCTGCTAGTAGAGAATATCGCAGGAGATTTCCTAATCGTCGAACTCCCAGTCATCCAATATTTGGGTCAGTTTTTAATTATTTGCGAGAAAATGGCACTTTTCCTAGTGGAACAACAGAGCGACATGTAGATGAAGCGCAGGAAGATGACATTATGGACGCCGTTACTATGAACCCTACAATAAGCACTAGACAAGTAAGTCGAGAACTCAATGTTACTCAATCAAAAGTAAGTAGAGTCTTACAAAAAAATAATCTATACCCATATCACATTCAAATGGTTCAGCGACTACATGCTGGAGATGAGATCGATAGGTTGGAATTTTGTAGATGGATTAACAATAATCGATCAACGCTATACAGGACACTATTTACAGATGAAGCCCAATTTACCAGAGACGGGATAAATAATTCACGAAATTCACATGTGTGGGCAGAAGAAAATCCCCATGCTATTCGAGAACGTCGTTCTCAGTTAAGGTTTTCGGTTAACGTGTGGATTGGTGTCATAAATAACCAATTAGTAGGTCCTCACTTTTTTGATGGTCCTTTAACAGGGCAGGTCTATTTGAACTTTCTACAAAATATTTTGCCGAATTTGCTTGCCAACGCGAACGTTGCTATCCGAGGGATGTATTTTCAGCATGATGGGGCACCCCCACACTTTTTACTGGCAGTGAGACAACATCTCAATAATGTTTATGGCAACAGGTGGATAGGACGTGCAGGTCCTATTTCGTGGCCTTCAAGATCCCCTGATTTCAATCCCGTTGATTACCATATTTGGGGACGATTGAAGCAACTAGTTTACGCAGTGAATATTAATAATCCGACAACAATTAATTGATAGAATTATACATTGTTGTAATACTATTAGAAACGATCCCCAGAGTATCCGTAATTCAATACGTCAATTAACAATTCGGCAACAAAAATGTGTACAGGCTGCAGGGTTCCATTTCGAAAATCTATTTTGAATTATTTTTATTTTGTTACCATTATTGTATCTTTTCCAGTTCTAATTTATGGGTTTATCATAACTATGTACATATTTTTAGTTTTTTTTTTAATTGTTCTTCGTTATTGTTAGTAGTTACTGTTTTTTGTTGTGCAGTGACTCAGTTTATCATTTCAATTAAAATGTTTGAAATTTATAACATTTGTTTAAATTAATTACCTTATAATTTGATACTTCATTATGGTTGTTCTATTTTTGGTAAGATTTGATCGTTCACTAAAAATTTAATAAAAGTGCGACAACATTGTCGCATATGTCGTTTTCATTGGCTATTTATGTAGTTTGAAAATCACTTATTGCATTTTAAAAAAATATATATACAGGGTGTAATATTTAATACGAATCCCTAAATTAATTTTTCCAAAGCCAGTCCTGGAATTTTTTAGTTTAGCTAATACCAGTCGAATGCTTGATAGTAGTGTACTGTATCATGCAAAAATTTTAAAAAATCAAATGAGCCGTATAAACACTACAGTAAAATGAAATAAATGGTCAATTACACAAATCACCCTGTTAATTAATAAAGAAGAGGAGTTGACATTTTTTAGTGGCCACATGATATGCTCTCTGAGGGACTCTACATATGGTAGAAGTATGTAAAGTTCCTCATGACTCACCCGGTATATGATACATTATTATAATGTGTCGATAAAATAAGTAGTATTTTTATTTGACAAATGATAAAGTGTAGTTTAATTAATTATTTATTCAACTGTTATTTTTAAGTTTAAAAAAATGTTCTGTATTTTTTTAACGTTAATCAGGAGATAATTAGGGTCACGAAACTGGTTTATTTTTTAAAAAGGCTCAATGTTTATTTCTATTTTCTGAGATAAACAAACCAAAGTGAAAGAAAAAAAGTAAATATTTATGAATAATTTTGTATTTCGCTACTGTTGAATGTTCACAGCGTAGTGTAATAGACTATTTTTATACCGATACATTAAAATCTATATTTATAGTTTAATTACTTTTCCTAATCAATTATTTAGCTGTTAAACTTTCAAACCTGTTTAAACTTAAAATAGGAAGAACTAATCGCGCCGTCTTCTGTTGAAAAATTAAAATTCGGTTCAGATCTCATACATTTTTTCGTCATATAGGTGTGGAAAATATATTTAAAGAGTTCGGTAGTAATTGTTAAGAAAACAATACTGTAAGAAATTGTGCATATCATTATAAAAAACGCAAGTATCCTTGAAAAGTAAGAGAGTTATGGTCCAACAGTTTTTTTTAAATCTTAATATTTTTTCTTTGATTAGTCGGTGATCAAAATATACCTATGTTTTAATCGATTTCATGCTTGAATATAAAAATAGTTCTGACTCCCTCCATAATCAACGTTGCAGAGTTTCATTGAAGATTGGTGATTTTAATTATCTTATTCCGATAGAAGTTTGTGACAAGGATAGATAAAAATTGTGGTTTCTTATAGTGTTTTAAAAGGTGACAATGGAGTACCATTGGAACTTTTTTTGGGTGTTTCTGGTGTTGATCCAGTTTTGCCATGGGACAAACAAGAAACCAAATATTATTGTGATTATAGCAGATGATATGGTAAGTAAAAAAAAATAAAAATATAATGAAAAATATTCCTAATAATAAGAAAATAAAAATGTAAATGTATACGTTAATTATAGCTAAGAAATTACTATATACTTACCGTGAAATGGGGTGAGATTGATCAATTTTAACATTACTTGATTTATATTTTAAACGTTCTTGTGGCTGTTCTATATTTAAATACTTTACGTGTTATATTAATATCTAAAGAGTAGTGATTTAACACTAGTTTTTTATTTAATTATTAAGAGAATCCATTTATCTCATAAAAAAAGGGTGATCAATCTTATACCCGTACTGGGGTGAGATTGATTATGATGATTTTATAGCATGAAACAGTATTCGGTCAGACAGTTTTTTCGAATTTTTACAAAGGGGTAAGATTGATCATGCGGAGTGAGATTGATCATGCGGGGTGAGAATGATCACACTATTTTTATTGTAACTCTTCTTTATGTATACAAAAACAACACATTTTAACAACTAAAAATGTAATTCAGAATAATTTATAAAAAAATAAAATTCGATTTAACATTCTTTTATATTAATTTCTCCGCGAAAATGATATTTTTGTACTTATCCTATCAGAAATCGTCTCAAGTGTCGGATCTGGTAGTAACGCAAATACTTCCTTGAAGGGAACAGTGGATATCTCATTTTCAATTATTTTAAAAATCATCCTCGGTCCTGCTGGTTTAAGGCATTGAACTTCGATTTCTTTTTCTTCTAAAACTCCTTTGATCTGACTGACATAGTGAAATTCCATCTTTTTCCGAGAACCAGACAAAAACCCTACTAACAGGAATTTTCCCTTCGTGATGTTTTTTAATGAAGGACAGAAATATTCAAGCTCCTCTTACAGAAATATTCAACCTCCTCTTCATCTTTGTTAATATCAACATCACCGTTGCTGTCATCTAATTCCAGATTTTCATTTGAATCATCGTCACTGAACTCCTCTGATGGTTTAGGTGCTGAACGCTTTGACCAGGTTCAGCTGCTAACAGTTTTCTTTTACGTCTAGGTTTTTCAGAGCCGGAATTGTACCTTAATTTTTTCAAAAAGTTAGTAAGAGAGCATCTAGGCTTGGTTTGATCAATAGCGTCATGTGGTTGATCTTCCAAAACTCGATTAGGGTTGAATGGTGCAATGTCACATGCTTCAAAACCAGAAAGTAAATTTCTTTTTACACCACTTTTCTCTATATATATATACATCGGTTTAGAATGTCTTTCGACGTTGTCTGATACCTAAACACCATCTCTTCCTATCTTCGCAGTCGTTTGTTGTTAAATTTCTTTCGCTCATGGACTTGTTTACGCCGTGTTGCCATTCTAATCTGGGTCTTCCTCTTTTCCGTCGACCTATCGGTTGCCATTCTACTACTTTTTTAGGGAGTCTTGTTGCTGGCATCCGTTGAACATGCCCATACCACCTTAATTGTTTCTTCTCTATATCTTGAGTTATATTTCTTTCTATTCCCATACGTTGTTTTATTACATCATTTCTGATTCGGTCTCGTCTGGAAATACCTAAAGATCTTCTCATTGCATCCATCTCTACTGCTTCTATTCGCTTTTTGTTCTTTTCACTAATTCTCCATGTTTCAGCGCCATAAAGAAAAGTAGTTTTAATCATGGTCTCATATATATTAAATTTTCTTCCTTTCGTTATCTCTTTACTCCACAGTATACCATTGAGACATCCTAAGACTTTCTTTGCTTGAGTGATTCGTTTTTCTATTTCCCGTGTATCAGTTCCTGTATTGTCAAAGGCAACACCCAAGTAGTCATAGCTCTGACAGCAGGAAATATGCTGTCCGTTTTCGAGGTCTATGTTATCGGACTCGTTTCCAATACAAGATATTTGGTTTTTGTTGTATTGACATTCATTCCCCAGTCGTTATATTCTTCTATCAGTTTTCTAACCATGTACTGCATGTCTTCCCTGTCAGTCGCTAGTACTACCTGGTCATCAGCAAACTGGAGTGTATATATACATTCATTGCTAAGTTCTATACCCATCCTATGCACCTTTCTTTTCCACCTTTCCAATGCTGCTGCAACATATATCTTGAATAAGGTTGGTGAGATACAGCATCCCTGTCGCAAGCCTTTTGTAACCAGGAATTCTTCCGTTAGATATTTTCCTGTTTTTATCTGTGCCTTTGAGTCTCTATAGTAGTTCTTGTACAGCATTTATCAATGATGTGGTTGATGTTAGATCTTTGCAACGTTGTCCACAATTTTGTTAAGGGGATGTTGTCATATGCTTTTTGCAGGTCTACAAAAGTAATATGAGTTTCTAGATTCTTAGCTGATCTTTTTTATATTATTTGTTTAAGACAAAATACGTTATCGGTGCACGATCTTCCTGCACGGAACCCGCTTTGTTCTTCCTCTTCATTGTGCTTATATTCTTCCTCGATCATATTTCTCAAAATTCGTCCATACAGTCTGCTCAGGGTGCTGGTTACCGATATGCCTCTATAATTATTACAATTCCTTTTGTCCCCCTTTTTGTGTATTGAGGACATGTATGCCGTTCTCCACTGTTCTGGTACTGGGTGTCCATTTAGACACTGATTGATCACATAACTTAAGTTTTCAAATAGTTTATGAGTTCCATTCTTAAGCATTTCAGCATAGATTCTATCAGGTCTAGCGGATTTACCATTCTTTAGGGTCATTACAGCCTTCCTTACTGTTTCGATGTCTACCCTGGCTTCCTCTCCTTGTATATGTACTGACTGTGTTGGGGAGTTCGCTAGGTATTCTTGTCTTGTCTCTATCAGCAAGCTTTCATAGTAATATTTCCATTGTATTGGTTTTATGGTGTGTATGTGTGCTTTTTCTTTTCCTGTATTTTTTACTGATTGTATAAAATGCCATACCTCTGTACATTGCTTCCCTCCGATGTATGTATTGATTTCTTGACATTTCTGATCATATGTTTTATTCTTTTCTTGTTTTATCATTTTTCGTAGTTGTCTATCGGTTTCTTTGTAAGCTTGATGGTCTTCAGTATTTTTTGTATTTAGCCATTTTAGATGCTGTTCTTTTTTCTGTTTTGCCATATATTCGATTTCTTCGTTCCACCATATTTTGTTACTAATTTTGTTTTGCTGTGTCCCGAGTGTCTTCTTAGAGGCCTGGTGTAAACTAGCAATAATATTCTCGTAAATATCTGAAAATGTTTGTCTCTCTATTTCTCGTAGTTTTTCATCCAGTCGTCGTTGGTATAGCTGTTTAGTACTATCATTTATAAAACTATTGAAGTTGTACTTCGGAGTGTCCACTGTCTGCAAGTCTTGCTTGTCTTCTAGGTTTTGGTCTCCGTGTATTATCTTAAATGGGAACAAAATTTTCGCTCTTACTAAGTCTCACTCTTACTTTTCGAGTTTCGCTCTTACTTTTCTCTCCGTATGGATTTTTAGGTCGCTCTTTATTCATGATTTCAAATGTTTCCTTTAACAGCTTACGAAATTTATTTTTCCGACTGCCAGAGGTTTTGCATTTTCCATAGTGTTAAAGTTTTTTTCCAGCCTAAAGGGCCTGAAGAATGCGACATCGAATGGCTGGCAAATATTAGTAGAGTTGGCTGGTAAGCATGCAAGTATTGTATTGTTTTCTTTACATTATCTCAGAACATCTGGATTAAAATAAGAAGCTAGATTGTCCCTTATTAACACCTATTTTCCATCGAGTCACCTAGCATGTGGTAAGAAGCAGGTGCACAATGCAATCATTGAATGTTGACATATCAATCAAACCATGGGAGGTTCGATTATGTCGTGTGCCCAGTAAGCATTATAGCTGTTCGCAGAATGGTCCATTTTTTGTCCAAGTATCCCATAAATTTTCCTCCTTGTTTATGACATGAGGTGGCAGAAGTATACCTGAGGCGGATACACAAATCATTATCGATGTAGATTTTGAACGGTTGCATATTTTTTCGGGGTATTTAGTACCTCTTCGGTAGATGCACAATTTTTTTCCGGGGTCATCTGAGAAGTCGTCGTAATTAAAAATATTTTCAACTGGAACATTTTCAATCGTTTGTTGTAAATTTTCAAAGTATTTTTTAGTCAGATTAGAAGTTAGATATACTTCTACTAGTTTTGTCCAAAAACTTTTGACGGACATTCTTAAATCCATTCTTCTTTATATGTGAATACAGATTGTCTACCTGTTATCTTAATCTTCCTTCCATGGTACTAGTTATTTAAAGTTCCGTAGGACAATTTGTATTTTTTTGCGGCTTGCTATTAATCCATTTTCCAATACTTCGTGCAACGTCTGATTAACTTGTTCTTCTTAAATCATCCATCATCAGCCATCTTAAAAAAGCTGGCGTTAGTTAAAATGCTAGATACTTAAAATTATTATTACATAACCATATAAAAAATTTTTATAACACTAGAAATATCGAACTTACCTCTGTTCTTTCTCTACCATCAAAAGTACTTCTTCTTCTTTGGGTGCCGTGTCCGTAGCCAGAGCCATGAAAGTTTCTTTCGACCAATCCATCTCTTTCCTTCCACGTATTTTCCATGTATTATAAGGTGAAGTACATGGTATTTAGGTCCTCTAATTATATGGCCGAAGTATTCTGTTTTTCTCCTTTTTATGGTGTTTATACATGCGACAACTACTGAATGATAACAAAAGAAATACAGTGGAGTTTACCGAACTGAACAAAACCATAAGAAAACAGATAAAGGAAGATTTAAAGAAATACCAAGAAGACCGCATTAAGAAAATCATAGAGAAGAACAAAAGTTTAAAAACAATGAAGACAAATACCAGGAAAAAGAAGACTAATCATTCTTAAAGCTGAGAGCAATGAAGAAAGAGATCAAGGAGAAATAGTAAAAATCACAGAAAGATATTACAGAGACCTATATATGTTCTAAAAATGACCCACCACTATCATCTAAACAGAATCTCTCGAGAAAAATACAAAATGTTGGCTCAGAGGTATTATCAGAAATA